ACATGCAAAACGGGACGGAAAACATGAAATTTTGCAATAATCTTGCGCCACCCTTGCACAAAACGACGATAATTTTTCTAATTTCATAGACAACATTTTTTATACATACCCCCCCCCCCCCCCTTATGAATTTAAAGCTGGATCCGCCCCTGCCAGTAGGTTCCCAGAAATAGCCGTCAGTCACTTTTAATGAAACACCCTGTAGCTAGTGTACGAAAATATATTTTTCCCACAGGAAAGGTGTTTGGGCCTGCCGGAGCAAGACGCTAACCCTGGGAGCCGGATGTTCGCGTAAGTGCGCTCTAATGTGAAACTGTGAATGAGATAATTATAATTTGTTTTTTAATTTTTAAGTCCATTATCACTATTGATGTAAGCTATCACGGCTCGATTTTTTCTATCGTCTAAGTATACTTATTACAACATTAACAAAACCTTCTTGCTGGACATTTACAGTAAGTAGATGGACGATAGCTAATTCTAAAATTTCTATCTGCATCAATCGCAGGGTTTTCTGCAGTTGCCGCATTTGTTTCTAAACAAGTTGCAGATAGTCTTTACGGCTGACGTTCACCACAAATTAATCAGATAAGCCCACGGACGGAAATTTAGTATTTGCAATAATAGTATGTCACCGTTCGCCTATACACGACACTAAATTACGAGAAATTGACGACATTTTGACACTGCCAAAGATACTAAACGCAGATAATTCGCACGAAAACATGCAGAATTGAAAATATAAACTATCATTTATAGGAGAAAAGGGCTGCAAGGAAAAATTACACTTGCATATAATTCTTCATTAATGAGCATCTATTTATTGGACACTTTCCTTTAAAGAGTTTAAATGTTCTTGTTTAGCTGTTAGTTTCAACAGCTTTTGGAGTCTAGTTGCAATGATTGGTATAATTGAAATGAAAAATCCTCATCAATGAACAACGAAAGTCTGTTCAAATTAATTACATTTTAATTCGCTGCCAAAGATGACTTTTAACTTAAGATTGCTTTATATGGCTGTGTTTTATTAGGCCATACACGCGTTCTTCATCATGTTGATGCTTCGCATGTTTTTCGTCCTCCATATTGTGTCAGCTACATGTACCATTATTTTCGATTCCATGGCCATTATTCAACTCATTGGTTAAACGAACCAAATTGTTTGCATGGCTGTTAAACGGGTCTTTTAATATTGCTGTACCGCTACCAGAAGGATCTTTAGCCACGGGTTACGCGAACGTTAATGGAAAGTAAATGAAACGCATCGTTTGAAGCAATGGAGACGTGGCTTATGATTAACGATTATGCATGAGCAGATTTTATTGGACATTTTACTACGGATTTCTTAAAAGGTTGTCGAATTCCTCACTGAAAGAGTTTCAGCCACCAGTTTATCGTGTTTTTTTGCAAAGCACCGTGTGTAAACATTAATTACGAGCTAAAGTTTGTAAAAAACATTAATTTTTTCAATTAGAGCTTCGATTTTGGACAATATAAATTCCGGCCCATTAATGGTTTTCTTAATATCTAAAGTTAATTACAAAATTACCACGATGTGATTTGCTGTCCTTACAGATTTCATTGCCATGCAGGAATTCTTGGCATTACTAATTTAATTACTACCTTAATGTATTTTCAGAATTATTTTTCATTTTGGTGTGGATGTAAAACGCTTAATTTCATACCCGTTTAATATTTTAATGCGTTTTGAAGGCTTTAACTGTTAAGGTCGAGGTTTGTAATATTGTTTATTTAAGAAACTGCTGGTTCAATTTATGCCTAGCACCGAATATATAAATTTTCAAAAGTACTTTTATCAATAACTATGTAAATAGTACAAAAATATAGATTTTTCAAACGGGAACTAAGATTTGAACGGTAGTTTTATTCTTATTTTTATATTTTAGTTATCTCTCTAAGTGATAATTATTTATATTATAATACTTAGTCAATACAATAAGTGTGTTTCAAAGCAGAAGAACATTTGCTTGAAATTGTATATAATAATAAATTATGCTAACTTAGAAAAAAATGGCTTCAAAAGTTACTTATAAACGAGTTTTAAAAAACTTAAGATTTTTTGGACACATTGCTTTAAATCTGATTAAAACTGTTTTTTTTTACTTCAGGTTCTTACTTGAGAATGTGTCTATTATGTATTTATTATGATTTATATACTGTATTTTTATGATTTTTATTGCTAACTATTTTCAGATGGCTCTCAATTTGACTTACATTTTAATATATATTTAATATATAATAATCTACATACTTT